CCAGTATAGCGCCAACAGTTCTTTACAGTTTCTTTGCTTATTGTGTCCCATGTCTCCTTTACTAACCAAATTGTCTAGAGCACATTAATTTTATTTGGGTTTACAATGCCTATATCAAAATCATTAATTACTTTATGGATATAAAGGTGTTTATAGTATACCTTGAATGCATTAATTATTCCTGCATCTATTGGTTGCAAGTGCGCTGTGATATTAGGAGGAAAGAAATGTATATGAATATTTAGATATTTATTAAGATTGTTAACAGCATGGAAGGTGGTATCATCAACAAGTAATAAAACTTTTTGATCTTGGATTTGAAAGTTATTTTGAGGATTACAAAGAAATTTCTAAAAAAAAAAAAAATAAAAAAAAAAAAATAAAATAAAATAAAATAAAAAAATAAATGTATACCGCAAAAGCAAAACTTTAAAAACCTTAAATATGTTCTGACGCATCTATATTGTCTCATTATAGTAATAATCAACAGGAAGTTGATTGTAAATAATATTTGTATCACAAAATATATTTGGCATTTTAGATTTATTAATAATCAGAGGTGTAAGTTTTTTAGAGCCATCTGCATTAGCTATAAAAAGAACTATAATTCTTGTTTTGTCTTTTTTTTTTACCTTTTCTTACAGTTGTTGAAAGAGAAAAACTTGACTCCATATGATAATATAAACCACATTCGTCAACATTAAAGACATCCTGTGGTTCATAAGTTGCCAAAATATTTTTCAACTCCTCTCTGAATTGTAGAAGAAGTTCTATAGGTGCACTTTCTGCTTCTCCATGAATTTTATGATTACAAAGACCTATCCTAGTTTTAAATTGTGTAAGCCAACCTTGAGATGCTCTAAATTCCTCTTCTGAAATACCTAACAATGCTGCAAACTAAAGTACCTTTTGACGAATTACTTCACCTGTAAGAGTAAGTTTGTGTTGTTCTACAATACCAATCTACATTTCAAGAGCTCTTTCAACTTGGAAAAATTTAGAACTAGCTGTTTTAAGTACATTTGATGTTGGTGAAATTTCTTGTATCTCAGACCATTTTTTTTGCTTGAGAATTTTTGATATAGTACTTCGATCACAATCAAACTCTGCAGCAATTTTTTCATCTTTTAGATTAGGATTAGCTCTTTTTTTTTTTATATATCTTTTTTTTGTTTTGTGAAAATCTAGTGCATTTTTTAATTTTTTCTTTAGGCATATTTAATCAACTATTGTATTTTATAATATGTAAAGTGTAGCAAAAGCCTGTTTGAAAACTGGATAAGGTCCAAATCATCTCAAACTGTCTTTTTTTTTAAATGTGCTTCTTAAATATAATGATTACTTAATCATCTTCTAAAAAAGATAATACCCTACTTGTTTCACTAAACTTTAATAATCTTTTATATACATATAGTATATGTATTTGGTATATAAATATGTATGTACGTATGTATATACGTATATACTAGAATGGTAACTCAACTAAGTAATTTTACTATGATTAAATCTTAATTGGTGAAATTAAAATACCACCCTAGTCGGGTAACCCTCTAGTTGGGTTGCAGGTACGGCAACTAGTGTAGAATCTAGTAATAGGCAGACTACTTAAATAGGCACTCAAAAGGCGTAGATATGACTAGATGTACCCTCCAAATATATATAACACATTCGAAATCAATAAAGTATATTTGACCAAGAGGTCATCTTAACACCGAAAAAAAAAAAAAATACCACCCTAGTACTAAAAAATTTTTATCGAAGGTTACACATATTATAATGTAATTATAGCGAGCAATATTTACAAAGGTATTTTATATATCAAATATAAAATTTTATGTGATAGTGACTATTACGAAACCTAATATAATATGTGACTATTTCGAAAAACTTTATTTAATAAAAATTTGAATCTATAAAATTATGTGACTATAGACAATTTGGTTAGTAAAGGAGACATGGGACACAATAAGCAAAGAAACTGTAAAGAACTGTTGGCGCTATACTGG